AAAAAAAAAAAAAATACACTTGGTGACACGTCATTGTACACGTAAGAGTCCACGTCAAATCCTATTAACAGATAATACTCCCAATCTCAAGCCCGATGAATCAGAAAAAAAAAGGAACACAAAACTTTGCCGCGCGCGATTCTGCTCGGCGTTTTCTTGCGATTTTTTCCAAAAATCTGCCGCTCTCTTCCTTCTTCATCTGAAAAATCGAGTTCACGACCTGATTGAGGACTTTCTTTTGACTCCGGGCCTAAAATCTTTGAGCAACGAAACCTAACAGGTATGATTTTTCTACTCATTATGCGAATTACCCCAATTGTTGATGAATTCATGTGGATGTTGATCAAATGAAAAGAATTTTGGTGAAGATGTTTGGGTAAGAATTGGTTTGTTAGGTTGAATACGCAGTGGGTCGACGCCATATGATCTGATGTAGAGAAAAAAAAAGATTTTTGATATTTATTTTTTTATGGCTTCATTTCGAAAAAAAAAGGATCTGCCAGCTACCACCGTCACACAAATCGCGCATCCCAATTGCAGCCGGGCCGAATTTCCTTTCTTCGATGCAGATCTCGCTTTTCGATCTGACCTCCAAGGCTCCACCAAAGGTCGTCGATTCGAAGCTCAATCGCTGCTCCCTAAGCCGACGACATTTAAACTGTAACACCCCGCCTAGACTTACTAAAATCAGAGAAAATTTTTCGCGCTATAAATGGAAAGCACTGCTTTAATTTTCGAAAACTCATATTACTTTTTCGAAAATATTTTAACTTTAAAACACGAGGTGCTACTCAACTTTAATCTTATATCTTTATCTCTTTACTCTAACATGAATGCGACCAAGTAAATTCATTATAGAATTAAGGCCATGAATAATACCGGATAAAACATGCATATTCTGAAAATCTTACATAATCTGACATCTGAAATAATAATCTGAAATCTGATATCTGAAACACAAGTCTAACATGCGGAAGCAAGTACAAATTCGGAAAAGCACACAAGCATAAAATAAACATAGATAATTCAAACATGTTCAAATACTATATGACATGTTTTCACAAAAATATCCTGAAGCTGGACAACACCACATAACTGCTCACGCTCCACGCAGGACTCCATCACCTGGAAAATAGGGTAGTGGGGAGGCGTGAGCACAAAGGAATCAACGGTGCTCCGCTGGAATCGACACTGAATACTCAGCACAATTAATAACAAACTATGAAATCAACATATATATGAATAAACTGGTCTGGCTATGGGACTAACGGTAAACCGGTACTCATTGTACACTCTGGGGGTCCCCTCCCACAGAAATCCAGGCTGGGCATCGCCCACTCATCTCGACGCTGGACTTAGGCTGGGCATCGCCCACTCATCTGACATCTTGACCAAGACGGGATCACTCATCCCTCCCGGTCCTTCAATTTAATCACATATAGTAAATTATTAAAAGCGATGAAATACACAGTACATGGTCCCCACCTGGAAAACGGCGAATGCGGATGCTGAAATATCTAAAATATGCTGTGTAGCAGGCGGAGGCTCGACTCTCCTCAAGCTACAAATTATGAGCGAAATATTCTAAGTACTATGCTCAGAATATAACTCAAATCTTTAATATCTTATTGTCTAGGTTCGTCCACTCTGTTTTAAAAATCATTTTTAGGGATTTACGAGCTGATTTTGAAAATATTATTGTCTTTGAGGCATTCTAGAGTACTCTGAAATATTTCTAAGTCTGAAATTAAAATCTGACTTAAATTTAATCAGACTGAAATTTAAACTATATCTAGATCTTTAATCTATCTGGAGTCTTAACTTTATCTGAAATCTTAAATATAATCTTAAATATATCTGAAATCTTAATCTGACCGCATCTGAAATTTATCTGAAATTCTATCTGAAATATATCTCGAACAGTCCGGACTGACCGGAACGGTTCAACTAAACTGGACCGACAGCTCGCTCGGAGTTGGTCGGTCATTCGCTTGACTATGTATATGTATGCATGTATGGATATATGGAACAAAATAAGCAAGACTTCAGTTATAAATCAAAATTACACCTTTTTAGGAGGCCAGTGCTTTACTAGATTGAGCTTCTATGTTCTTAACTAGTAACGATTTTAAATGACCAAATCATTTTAATTTTACTCCATTTTGTGTAGGCAAAGAGAGGAACAAGGGGAAAGTGATTCAGTTGAAGATGTAGACAGTGGTATAGAATCTATTAATGATTCAGAAGAGACTGAGGATGATGGCGAGGATGGTAATGACCGGACTGGAAATAAACTAAATTATAAGTATCATTTATTGGCAATCCAGATTCTTGTTATGCTTTTATGTTGTAGCTTAAATCATTTGAATGCGGGTTTAATCAGAGAACCTTTTGTTAGCATGTATGGTTTGTGGTGAAAATGATATCAGGATCCTCTTAGTCATAAGCTCCAAAAGCTGGTTTATTGCTTGTCCTGTATAAAAGTAGCTCGCTCGTAGACATACTATTGATGCTATTCTACAGTTTTCATTGCTTGTTAAATATGAAGATTTTGGCGGTGCGATCTTCTCATAGTTGCACATCATTACAGTCTTTCTAGATGCAAACTTCCCTTTGATAATTGCACGTTTAGCTGTATAGATGCTTAGTCGACTAATATGCTCTTTGAAAGTGTTGGATAATATTTTACTAGATTCATTAGTGTATTTGTGGATGGAAAACGACTACCAAAATGCATGGGAATAAAGCTTCTCTTATTCTTTATACAACTTTCCTCTCTGAAAAGAGGATTATCAAGAGCTACATAGGCATCATTATGAATATAGAGCCGTGACTATTTGATACGCATGTGTTCATGGACTGATTCACGTATCCTACACTTTCGTTTGGCTAAAGTATTGAGAATTATGAATTTCTGTATTTGTAGTTCCCAGGGTTGCTCTAGTTTCTTTCCTGAAGATAAGCATAGATGTTACTCGTATTGTAATTTCCTTTTCTCTGATTTAGAAATCGATAATATGCCTGCCAAGGGTGATATTGTTCAAAATAAGGCAAAAGATGGTGTGGAACTGAGTGAAGATGTTGGGACAGACGACGATGATACAGCAGTGATGTCTGACATGTCTGACACTGATGATGAAAGTGATTTGAGAGTGAATAATCAGTCCCTTTCAGAGAGACCTATGATCTTAAGGTTTTCTCCTATTTACTTGCTACAGTTTATGATTTGTTATCAATCCTTCCTAAGTCTTAAGTTACTTCATGATTTTTGAAATTATTTTTTGTGCGGTTTGAAACACATCTCCGCAGCAATATTTTCCTTAACTTCCTTCTTTTTTGGAATGCATGGAATATCTTAAATTACACATTTAGTTAAGCTACTGTCTTTTTTTTCTTCCCCCCCCCCAATAAGTGACTAGTTTTCAGATACAACCCACACCTCAAGTTGTAGGTATAACTTTTGGGTCCTAAATTTCCAAGTTGCGTGGATTTTTGTATTGGTTGCATGATGTTGTTGGTCAGAAGGCCAAACCAGCCCTTAATTCCTTTTCAATTATGTCACATAAAAGCTATCTTTTGTTAAGTGCAACATTTTGTGAGCTAGCGAACTACATCTTCTATTTCGCAAAATAAAACTCATTCAGTTTGTTCTTTTCAGAATAAAAATTTTACTGTGTCAAATCTAGCAATATATACCTTTATGGGCCACTAATAGCACCGATAATGAAATAATTAGCTGATAACACTTTAAGTTATATGGTGTATGAAAAACTATTCTTTTGTCTGCCAGAGGCGGCTTGAATATTTTAACTTGAATATACCCCTGTAGGCGCTTGATTTATCTTCAAATATTCAACTGAATATAAAACTTAATTTTGTATGGTTTTATATGGAGAAGAACATTTTGATAAAATTTGGATTGGGATTGTAAGGAGAATTGTGAAATGTTTGAATGTGTTAGTTGTCAAAGAATAAGGGGGACATATTGCGCTTGTATGGATGAAACATTTGGATTTATTTTTTAATGTGTGAATATACATAGAAGCTCACTTTGTCTCAAACGGATGAAGAGCATTTTGACAATGATACTGAAGCGTGGCGTTTTCTTTTGGATGTTTACTCTTGCAGTAGCTTTGACAATCATTTGTCTCACAAAATATCCTCCTCAGAGATTGACCATTTAATGAAAAGAAAATGGAGGTACACATGGAAAATGCCTGCTCTTAACCTGTCAAGTTGCTACTGGAGAGGAACAGGAACATGTGCAATTAAGGTTAGTTGTTATCTTCTTTTTCTTTTTGCCTTTGCTTCTGCGTGGCTATTCAGTTCAGTTGAAAATGTGTAGCTAGATTCTAGGTTCTAGGTTATATAGTTAATTGAATGGAGTTTTTTTGAGTGCTGTTGTTTACTAACACCAATTGTTGCTACTTTTGTTTGAGTTATTGTGTTTGCATGATTCTTGTCAATATATGGTTTGATTTTCTGTAAATAGGGAATAATTGATAGCTAGAAATTATGTTTTTTTATTCATCCTTTTCATAATTGTGTTCTTTTATCGAATAAAAATATTATGTGTATACAAAGTACACAATTCCTGTAATTTATTCTTCGTGCTATTAGAGCCACGACAAACAAAAGGTCCATAGTTTGAGTATTGTCTTGCTGCTTGATGTGTTGGAGCAGAATAAATTTATTATTATTTGGCTCACCACTGTATCATCTTAAGCTTTTAGTAGGTTTCTTTAACATTTCCATGAAGAGTTACATAGTGCTGAACCTTACCATCATTTTACCGAAGCGTGAATTTACAAATGGCGTCTAATAGGTTACTTAGCATATTTGTCCTGTTTCCTTGTACTTGTTGGCTAAATGATTGGATCTGAAGATTGAGACATTTCTATTACAATTTTAATTCAAGCTAGTATACTCTGAAGTCATGTCTGCAAGATTTTGCTGAGTTATGCGAATGATGAGCAAGCTCATTTCTATTTCTATTCTTTAGAAGTATTTGAGTTATAGTCTGCTGGATTTTAAACCTCAATGTTACAGAAATTGTAATTTCTTGTATTTCTTGTTTGGCATTTTGTGTGTAAAGGTGAATAAGCTCATCTACTGATAATTATATTTCACTAATCATTTCTTATACAACAGACGGGTAATCTATTTGCCTAAAGTTGATTTCCACTGTACGTTCTAGAAACTCTGTTTTGAGTTAGTTCTATGCTTTATAATTTTGTCATTGAGGTGTCGAATGGTTTATATGCACTAGCGTATAGCATCTAACAAAATT